AAGGTGAACCTATTTTGGATTATTTCAAAATATTGGGGAAAAATTCCAACGACTCATTATTGTCCTATGATTTTTATAATTTCCGCCCCCCCCCCTTAAAAGTCAGTTATAACCGCCACTGAACTTTATTGATAAATTTGTATGACACCAAGTAAAGAGTAATAGTTATGAGTAATAAGTAATAAGTAAACCATTCAATGTTAAAACAGTAAGTACAACTAAAATCGTTATTCTTGGTTATATTTAATATGTAATTTAGTCCGAATTTTGAATTTAAAATTAGTATACAAAAAACCTATGATTATATATTTTTTTTAGGTTTTTTGATTATAGAATTCACTCTTTACGTGGAACCTTGTTTTAAATTTAAAATTCTTAACTATAAAAATTAAACATTGTATACATTTTTAACAACAAAATAATATGTGCATTTTCAATTTAATAAATAATTTGAACTTAAAAATACCTACAAGATAAAAAATCGTTCCTATATATTTTTAATTTTTTTAATTTTTTGTTGTAACAATATATTATAGGAACCTTGTATTAGATTTTCAAGCTTTTTTATCCAACGAATACAATTTTATTGAAATTTACAGAAAAAAAAATTTAAAAACAGTTAAAAACAAGTCAAAATATTTTTAAGATTGTATCAAGTATAGTAAATGATAAAATAAATATTTGTTGTGAGTTGCAACTACTTGCAGTTAATCATTTAAATAGGTAACAGTAAAATCTTACCATGAGAAATCGAGTRAATACCTACTAAAAAAACTAATTCAATTTATGTAGGAATATACACATTGGCATTAATTACTTCATAAATTAGGTTCTTTATAAACTTATTATTTATAGTTTAATTTAAACATTTCAAACACTTTTATTTATAATATATTTATGCGGTCATTGTTCAAATGGTTGTTCCTTCTGTTTGGGTAAAATTAATGTCTTTAAAAATAATAAATAGTTAAAATCGAATAACTATATTAAAGAAAGAAAGAAAACAGTCCGCGGCAGCTGTGACCATTGGGCGTAATATTACATAGGTATATACTATAAAATTATAAACTTATACTAACATCGGCTGCATAGGTTGACGATTTTGTTTCGGTTTTAGTCTTTTTTTCTCTACCTAACCGTGTTTAGCCATATTTACTGTATAACTATATAATAGCCGTACATTTTTTTATGTACTTATGGCTGAGCCTCAAAAAGAATTTATAGTTAACAACGTGCAGCTCATGCACTTTTCAATGTATAGATATATAAATATATAATATATATATATATATATGAATATGATAATACAGGTACATATTAGTTGTAGGTACATGAATTATAAATGAACTAATTAGTCCGCATTAGAGTATAAGATGATTACGACACGCTATATTCGATATGTATCGTTTAACTTGCAAAATTTGAACAATTGTAACAGTTTTAGCGACGTGATTTTTAGTGYAGCCACATAATATTATGTGTTTGTTTAACGAGTCTTATATTAGTTGGTTTTCGTTACAAAACTTTAACATAACCTATCTATATTATATGCGTAGACCCATAGAAATTATTATCATGTATCAATAACATACATTTGGTAATTTGATAATATTGCTCAAAAAATTACTTTCTATCTATTTTATGTTATAGTTAAATATTCATTTAGTTACTCTTCTTTTCCCTGTTAATATATTAATAAATAATAATATAAATTATAATATACATATCTACTAAKATAAAAATACATTATAAATTTTATTTTTAAAAATAAAATAATATCTTTGTAGCATTTGGTCTCAGAACTATATTTAACATTGTTATAGTGCGATAAGGTTTTTTATTTAATTAATTATTTATTTATTTATTACAAAAATAACGTGTTAATATTTTAAATTCAAATTCAAATTATTTAATTATTACTTATATATTACATAAGTTGTGAATTTGCAGCGCATCTGGTCCTGAGAGATTTGCATTATATTGCACAATCTATGGAATAATAATATGCATGTCATGTTTTATAGTATACATTTGTGGTTTATTATAGTTGACACGACTTGTTGGTTGTTTCATATTAATAATAATTTATACAATTAATCGAAACCAGATGTAAATTATTAAAAAACTTTTTGCTGTTTGCTTCAATAGTAACGATATTCGATTTGCTTTAGTGACCTGTAAAATACATATTATATTATTCAAAAAAGAATTGTGAAYTTACCCTGCTGTATTGTAGGTTCGATTATAGCTGCTTATATGCATTTTCATTGAGTATGTCACTGTAATTGACGAGTTAAATGTAAATTTTATGKTAAATTTATGTACTTATACTATACTAAAAACTATTTTTAGTGGAGACAGTCAGGCTCTATTTCTAAGGATAATATTATAAAAGTTCTTTACATTAAAAAGCATATTGCATATTACATTATAACATTACAATATAATAATTATATACAACATATACGATAGGTCGATAGATACGATAGAATAATAACGATTTTTCTTCAATAGTTTTTAATTATGTTATTATTGTTGAAAAAAGTTCATTATTAGGATTTAGGTAGTTCGTAACCTGTATGATTATATTCTACGGGTCGGGGGTATTAAAGTGAATAATAAGAATACATGGTAAAAATAATAAATTGCTTATTATAATATTTGCTATTATTATTATTTTAATGATACGATGTTTTCGGAAAAAAATCATTTAACCTACCGCGTATAATTAATAATAGTATAAATTATAATAGTATTAATATAAATACACACCTAGTAAAATATATATAGACCAAAGGGTAAATATTTTTTAACTTATGAAATTATATTATTTATATTATAATCATATTGGTGTGGAAGTTGGCCTGTCGCTATACGCAATTTTAAGTCTCTACCTATATTAAAAACTTTAAAAATTGATTTTATATGCAAATGATTCATTTTTTTTTTTTTGCTGTGGCTATGTAGGATTAATTTGAATTTTTGTTTGTTATAGCAATTATGGTGCAGCGACAGCAAAAGGATGTGAAAGTGATCGTAAACAATCACGGTAACACGATCCGCTGTTTTCGGTTCGGATCATTATCGTCACCGTAGTGCAATGATGGCACGAGCGTATGTGGCCGAATGGATTGTAGCGTGGGCGTTCTGGTCGGCATCCATAATCGTCGGTGCCAAGGTGATGAAATGCTGTCCCAGGGACATAATATTGGCCATTGACACATTCTCGTGCACGGGTTTCGTGACAGATGACCAGAATCAACGAGAGTCGTATGCTTGGACGTCGTCGGATGACTCAGCCGCGGTCACCACACCTGAAGACTTGGCGTTGTCCGTCTCTAACAGCAGCTCTATACCATGGTCGGTAATGCTTAAATACGAATACGAAATAGTGTTATCGTGCCTTGTATAAACAGTAATAATTGACTTAAGGTCGATGTTTCATTTTTAACTCGATGAGTTTAAGTATATTCGCTTCACTCGATTATTATGCGAATCAAATTTATCTAAAAACTATGATCATAACATTCATAAGTAACCAACCACTTRCATAGTTAACTGTTTCGATCGAAAATAATGTAAAAAAAGGTGTGCAAATTCTGGAGTAGGTACAGTAATACGACCACTACGAATTCAGTATACGACCACCGGACCCGGAGACTTTGCTCTCTTTGTCTTAAGCTTTAATACGTATGGAAAATATTTTTATCTAGTGTCGTGTTTCGTTAACTAGTGTAAGCAGCAATCATTAGTTATAGTGGGTTGTATACGAGATGCGTTTTGATGCAAAGTCAACATTTTTGGGGAATATTAATGTTAAAAAATATATATATTCCGTATTCCCGAGTATATACTAGGTAAAKAATATAATTCAAATATTATATGTATTTTGGATTCACTTGACTATGTATTTAAAACTGAAAATTAAAACGTTCCATCTCTATACCTCCGCAGGTGGATACCCCCCTATATGGAGTTCCTGCAGGCATCAAATCTGTCGGAAAAGTTCGAACCGGACGGCAGGTCGTTCGACACAGATGGCAAAATGCCTTGTGAAATAGGCACCCGGGAGATGACCGTCATTGACGACGATGTGGCGGTGCTGGACGACGGGCGGCTGATCATGTTCGGACAGGAAAACCGGTCGGCCGCCGCTTACGAGCGGTTGACGTTTTCCAGCGCAGAGTACTGCATCGACCGCGTGTCGCTGGTGGACAGCATCACGCCGAACAACAATAACAGCCACAAGACGACTACGACGTCCACGACGACCACGACGACCACAACGACCACCACGGCCACCAATGCCGAAACACAATCCACGTACACGTACGTGGCGCTGGTGTGCCGGCCGTGTTCGAGGATGACATGCGTGCCAAAGTGCTGTGGCAAGGGTCTTATGCTCGGGTATCAGAAGAACAACAAGAGTGACGTCATCGGGTGCCGAAAAGTGCAGTCCGTGGACAACGCTACCGCCGCGATACACATGAAACTCGCCAAYGGCACAGAACTGCGGCGTGAGTGTCTATCTTGTCCTTGGTCGTTTACTGTAATATTATTGTGGTACCGTTTGGTCATTTTTGTGGTGGCAATTAAAATACGGGCCATATGAGCATTAAAATGCATAATATTGTTGTTATTACTATACCAACGAAATGCTTGCTGAAAGGTTGGAAATAGCTTTTGTCATTTATATAAATATCTTCCAATTACATTATGTTATACGAAACAGTAGAACCTATTGATTATCCCGTAAACCRAATCTTCACGAACCCTCTATTAATTGAAGTGCAATTATTATTGACATATTCGAATGCCAATTGTACGTGTTGTGATGCTTGTATTACAGTCGTACACTGTTGTAATCATGTACACAAAACAATTTCATATTACGGATAATAATAATTACCTAATATAATATATTATATACATCGTATAATGTCATACATGGTTTTTGGTGATGTGTATGAATATATTAAATTTAAATTTATAATATATGTTATATATGTATAATATCAATATATGTATATTGAATTTACATAATATACATTATATTAAAAAGTATCCAGTATCTRAATTAGTTGGGATAATCGAGGTTCTCTATCGTGAGTCTGTAATTTGCACTAGAATAAAGCTATGTAATTTGCACCTCTGTAAGTAGTTAAAAACAATGTTTGTAATATTTACTTAAATAAGTATATAATATGTATTCGAGTATTCGATTGTCAAGTGCCTTTTTGATTATTCTTTGGTACCTATCATCGTTGACCCATAGTATGTTTTAAAAAATAATTTTATGAGTACTTAAATTTACGCAGTTTTATTAATTCTATTTATATAGGTATCTTGTAAAGAAGAAAAAAATTATGATAACTATTTAAACAAATTTAAATTAAATTTTTACTATACAATAATACAATTATTATAATATCATATACATTTTTGGCAGTCATTATTGTTATAATGTAGCTTTTATGTTAATACTGATATACTGTTAAACAKTATAAATCGGTAGGTAAATTAAATAACCACTCATAATCTATAAATGGAATATTTTGTGTCTTGAGTATCTCATATCACAATATATTATACTATACTATCAAAACTTGTAGATATTATCGAAAGAATAATCAATTAGAATTTTAATGCCAATTACAATTCCTATTTCTTACTAGATATCTAAAATGGTTCAAATTATATACATTTATTTTGGTGTGAATTATAAACGCAGGTTAAAAATATTGGTTGCAAGTTGGTAAGTTACATATTATTATGTTGTATAATATATTTAAAGATCAATTTTTGTACAAATTGACTACTGTAGAATACCCAAAATTCCTACATCATACAAAGTAATTTTGTGACAATAAACACATCAATATATTTAAATGCAGTTTTTCATATGTAAMCAATAACAATTTAAATTTAATGGCATACATTACGTTTAGATAAATGTTAAAAATATCAMATTTTGTTATATTCATTTACTAAGGCGATACCGGAATTTTATTTTACGTTGTAAACATATTCAACATATGTAGGTAAGATTTAGCACACCAATTCCATATATTATTTTCGTACCTTTAGGGCTTTGAAATAAATTTTCCAAGAAATATTTAAATACATTTTTTTTAGATACCTATTTAAAATTTAAAAATTGGACCAAATTAAATATTCAATCGAAGAATAACAATTATAGTTATTTTGTTTCAATAAAAATATTGTGMACTTCAAACTCTCATAGTAYCTATATAATTATATTTTATTTACACAATAAAATTTTAATTTGTTATGTTTTCGGCAAAAATTAATTTAACCTCCTGCAWTACTTATAATAAATAAATAATATTATAAAATATATTTACCTAAAATAGACAAACTATTTTGAATATTTGAAATGTATAGAAATCTTACAGTGTGTGGAAAATAACAATTTGGGTAGATACCTAATAATGAATCGTTTCAAATTTTAACAACTATTTTTTAAATTTTTTTTGGAATTCAACAAACTTATAAAAATTGTTAAATGATAAATCATTATATTATATTATTTAATCCATTATCGTCAATATTTAAACTCCAATCATTCATGAAAAATGTATTAGTCTAAGTACTTTGTAATGTCATTAAATATAGAAATGATAATTTAAGTTCCTAACAATGAAATGTTTCATATTCTTGGAATAATGGTTTTTAAATTTCAATAAAATACATACAACAATAAAGGGTCGTTATTTACTATTTAGTATGTTTAAATATCAAATGTCATCAAAATTAGAACCTTAATCACTCACAAATATTTGTATATGTTTTTATTGATGCTAAACATTTTTTTAAATTCCTGTTAAAAAACGAACGAAGAACTTTTTATTACATTATTATGCGTTAAGTATTGACATGAAAAATGTAATGAATGTATAACTACAAAGTGAAATTTGAATATTTTCAGAATTCTTTCGAATGTAGTAAACCCTTTAAGTAGTTTAAGTTGAAATCCTTATAAAACAAATTGTTCTAGTACATTACAATATAAAAAGTGAATAAACTGCAAATTTGCAATGCCAGGGGGYTTAACTTATGTAGAAAGCGAAAAAATGAAAAAAATAATATTATTATTACTAATTATTACACTTGAGTGTTGTACATTGTGCTGTTTTTTGTTTGTTCAATTTGTGAAGTACAAACATAGTCATTTTCTAATAAAAATCAAATACCATATTCTTACACTGTTCATTTTTCTCCATGAACAAATAAAAGATTGTCAGAAATTATCTTTTTTGATTTAATATGGTATCTATATTCTATACCATATCTGATTTTCTGTAAAGAATATTGATCTATATACATATTTTTATATGTATAAGTAAACATCAATATAAAAAATGAAAATGAACTATTTATTAATTATTAATAATTTAGGTAGATACATCGAAGAAATTATAAAATAATATGTATGTYTGTAGTCTGTATCTTAGTGCGTATACTTTCTTTGTGCATTATTTTTTTGAAGACATGAATCCAAATAAAAAAAAGAGAGTAAGTCGTGGATTTCGCTCTGCTGTACAGTAAATTACAAGTGGGTTACTGTAATGGATGAATTAAATTTGAATTTAATGATATTATATCATTGTATATAAAAAACGATTCTGAGCGGAGACGGTTTATCTATCTAGGATATATATAGATTATTAGAAATTTTCAAATCTTAGATTTAAAGAGAAATTTTTTTATGAATTTCTAGCTTAAAATAATTTGCGAATTTTCGTGATTTTTACGTTTGTTGTCAAAATTAAAATTTGAATGCTTGTAAAAAAAATTATGACTATGTGTTTCTTTTCTTTTTCAACTGCTACTGTAACAATATGTTAGGAACCTTGTATTAAATTTTCAAACTTTTCTACCCCATAAATAAATTATTATCGATATTAATTTTAAAAAAACTAATAATGATTAAAAATTTCATTTACCTATAAATAGTTTAACTTAAGTCGAAATTTTTTTAAAAATTGCATGATGGATAGAATTTATTTATATAAACATTCGCTGAAAATTTCATGTATCTATGGTCATTTTTTTTAAAGTTAAAAATCAAAATTGAATGTGTGTAAAAATKCTCGTTTTTCCTCAATTTTTAGTTTGTTTATCCTATTTATTAAGAAAAATATTGTGAATTTTTTACTTTTRAACCCTTAAAGTACTAACTAGATTCATTTTCTGATCGAACGAGGTACTGAAGTTGAAAATCGAGGCACTTTCACTGCCTCAAGACGCGATTACAGACACACAAAAAAAAAACACACACATTATTGTAAAATCAAAACATTCCTCGCTCCACTCAGAATCTAATATAAATGGTTTTAATATTTAATACATTTTTAATATTTGGAAGAAAATAGACATGTTTCTAGGAAAGTGGGAAATAAGCAGGTATCTATATACTATTCTGTTTTTTTTTTTTGGAAGAGAATGAACAGTGGAAGTAAGCGGTATACTTATCCAATATTTGGTTGAAAATGGTCTCATATACGCAACGTGTTTCATGCATTTATCTTATTCGCAGGTAAGGACCTCTACTTCTTTGGCCTGAAGCCACCTAACTGTGGTTCTCGTGGTTGGTATCTGCTTGGTGCAGACACGAATAAGGGGAGCATGGTCGCAAAAAAACAAGAGAGCGGGATCCCAAAAAAGCAAGCGAGTTACGGTYTACTGCCTGACGGCCGCGTGCAGGTGGACGGTGGCCTATTGCCCATCGAGCGTGACGATTATTGCGTGGACGCGATGCAGGTCGAGACTAATTCGTCACCGCCAACGTACACGGGTGTGATGCTTGCCTGTCGACTGGCCGCCGGTGTGGCGGACGCCGCCGGCCCGCTCAAGTTTCGCGAGATACTGTACGGCGTCTACTTCGTGGTCGGCACAATTTTTCTGGCCGCCACGTTGCTCATATACGCCGTTCTACCCGAGCTCCGCGTCACCGTCCACTCGGGCAACCTGATGGCACACACCGTCTGTTTGTTCGTGTCATACGCTACGTTGGCAGCCACCACGCTCGTTCGCCAAGTGTTCAACAATTGCGCATGTGTCATTGCCGGTAAATTATGGTTTTCGTTACTAGTATAATTTTGTAAGGCTTGTTATTTCGTGTAGGTACTAAACGCTTGAACATGTCTGCGACTAAATGCTCCAAAAATGCTAAAATATTATAGATAATCTTAAACATGAAGTAAAAAACATTAYAATAACAACTCACAATATTTTGAAGAAAAAAAATTATGCTAATTTATCTATTTGATGTATGAATACAACTTAATCGAATCCTTATAATTGTTATTTAAAATGTGAATATGTAAGTAGATTTTGTTGAGAMAAACTACTAACAATTTACATCAATACTATTAACAGCATCTTAACAGMAACTTTAAAAAATTTTAAATTTAAGAATTGTAAATAGTATTTAACTGTTAAAAATATACAATTGAGTTAAATATACTAAAACATAAGATATGTAAGTCTAAGATTAAATGCTAAGTAAAATTGCATACAATGAATCTTTGGTCCCGTGCGTGTGCGTGCGTGCGTGCGTGCGCGTTTACATTTTTTAGTACGTAACGAGATCCATCGTATGGAAATGGAGCAGCGTTACGAGATCATTTTTCGTTATGAGATCCAATATGCCGGATCCCGTAACGTTTTCATTAAATATAGACTCTAAAACTCATATAATGCAAAGTCTATCAAAAACTGCCTGGATCTCGGAAAGTAAGGAAAATAAAAATTAGTGTGTATGTAGTACGGATGTGTTCAACGCAGAATGCRCCACTATCGATTGTGTGAGAATAAAATGTTTAAATGTTCACACATTATTGTAGGTAATAACGCCTTTTGTGAGATCCTGWAGTACGGCAACGTCGCAATATCCTACATGCACTGATCACTTATAATATAYTTTAGAAGAGTCAATACTATAATGTAATAACGTGCCATTTCCTTCACATAATATACAYCACGGTTTGAGCTTATTACATAATATATATAATATATAATTATTATAATTAATACAGACTACAGTTGTAGGTACCTACCTACCTGGCTACCTGCAATACCTAATATATTATTATGTTTGTATATATATATATTAAATATATTAGTAATTAGTAATTACCATGGTGAATAGCAACACAAGATTTTGTATAAAACGTTTAGGATTTGATAATGGCGTTCTTTAATTTTATCATACGTATTAATTACCAACTGTAAACAGCACATACTTTAATACTTACACATTAAACACWATGATATCGTTTTATACCCAGATTTAATTTAGACTGTATACTTTGGTTTTGGATGTGATGATGGGGTTTAAGACGACCCACCACCATATTTTTTAAAATATAACGTACCTGGGTACTATTTAAATCTATGCATACGTCTTCTACTCTCATTGTAGTGTTTTAAACTCCTTTAGGAGAACTTCGCATAAAAATAATTATAGGATACTTTTATTATAAGTATAATATAAACATTTTCTGCTATRATTTACAATTGCCATGACAACTAAAAAAAAATTAAAACCAAAAGAGGTAGTTCACTGTTATTAAGAATATTTGTTTTTGAAATGTAAAAGGCATTTTAGTTTAAACATCCAACAATTCTCGAAAAATGCAAAGGGTTTGTGAGTGTATCGAGCAAGGGACAAAGTCCCGAAGTTTAGAATGAACAAATAAATAATAATATAATACATGTGTAGTGAGGTCATAAACTTTACTAACTGCTCGGTGTAAGCAAACCCCGCTTCGTCAGGAGTACACTTGGTTGGGAAAATA